TTTGTTGAAGAATTTTCTAGCAATGTTTTTAAAACCGATGGTAAAGTACTGTATTGTATAATTTGTGATCAGCCGGTACCTGTTACAAAACGGTTTCAAGTACTTCAGCATTTAAATACAAATAAACACCAAAAACATAATAATTTAGTAGAGAAATCGAAACAAACATTTATTAAAAGTACATTTGAAAATCTAAATAAACAATAATCTTTTGCWTTTGATTTATRTCAAGCTATGCTTGAGTCTGATATACCTCTTTGGAAATTAAACCACCCGTCGTTCAAAAGATTTTAGAGAAATATACCGAAAAATCTGTTCCCGATCAGTTAACAGTACGTAAAAGTTACGTTTCTACCATTTATGAAAACACTATTTCACGTATTCGTCTAGAAATTGGTGATGGACCGATCTGGGTCTCACTAGATGAGACAACAGATATTGACGGTCGGTTTGTATGCAATCGGTCTTCTTCACAACGAATATTATTCAGAGCCATGGCTATTAATGAGTGAGGAACTTTTTAAGTGTAATTTTCAAACTGTTGGTAAATTATTTAACGATTCCATGCAATTATTATGGCCGTCTGGAGTCAAGTATGACAATGTTCTTTTGTTTGTAACCGACGCTGCACCATATATGGTGAAGGCAGCTGACTCTTTAACTGTGCTATTTCCGAATCTGATACATTTAACATGTTTAGCCCACGGAATTCATAGAGTTTGCGAGACTATAAGAGCCGAATACACTACAGTTGATAAAATGATRTCCAATGTAAAAAAAATATTTTTAAAAGCTCCAAGCCGAACACTTAAATTACGTGAAATGTTTCCAAATTTACCTTTACCTCCAAAACCAGTGTTGACAAGATGRGCAACGTGGTTGACTGCAGTAACGTATTATGTAGATAATTTCAATTCAATTAAATCTGTGATCTTAGAATTAGATGACGAATCAGATTTGATAAAAAAAGCTAAAGAATTATTTGATAATCAAAATTTAAAAAATGATTTAGCATATATTAAAAGTAATTTTTGCTTTTTATCCCAAGTTATAATTAAACTACAAAACDAGAGTTTAACACTTCATGAAAGTCTACAGATTATAATAAACGCAAGGGATCGACTTCTTGAGTGTAACGGAAGAGTCGCAGATAAAGTTATAAACAAAATATCCTTGATTTTACAAAAAAATAAAGGATTTAAAACTCTACAATCAATAAATAAAATATTAAATGGTGAATCGGATGAGGACAATTTCARTTGTAACCTAACACCAGGACAAATGCCTTTAMTTAAATACGCGCCAACTACATCATGTGACGTTGAACGGAGCTTCAGTCAATACAAAGCCATACCACGATCTAATCGCCGAGCATTCATTTTCGAAAATTTGAAAAAATATGTGGTTGTAGCATGTAACACACGTAGTCAATGTGAATTATAAATTTTAAATTATTTTATTTTATTTTTAAGACAAACAGCCAACCTGTATTTCAATAAATAAATCTTTTTTTT